CCCCCCCCCCCCCCCCCCCCCCCCCCCCACACACACACACACCCCACTGTCAACAACTGCCAGCACTGACATAGCACTATGCTAGCGGAGCACAATACAGACACACTAGCTAAGAAGCTACAGACGTAGCACTCTGCTTCTCTTCTCTATCCACCCCCACCCCCAACACACACACACACAGTCGACAACTACCGACTCTAACCTAATGTAGTGCAACTGTCCTATGACGATTCCACCCCCAACCCCCATTGACAACAATCCCAGAAAACATGAGCGCACCCTGCCAAGGAAATTGACCTAGGGAAGAAACACTGAAAATTATTTATCTTGTCAAATGTAGCACTCTTGCTCATATTTACTTCAGTTACACTTAGTGGAGCCTTGTGTTTGTTCAAACAGCTGTTTATTCATGATAATTCCCAATCGGTTCCTGCCCTTGACCTTGACCTCAGTCTGTCCTATCCACTTAGAATAATACACTTTTAAAACAGAGGCATGTTTATTCATTGTCTGCTCTCTGCTCAGAATGTTGTTGCTTCATTTGTTTCACTTCTGAAATTTATCTCCCCCAGCCCAGCCCCCTCCAGTCTTACCCAACTGGGTTTTTGTTTGACTCCATGTATCCAGATGTAGTCATTAGTTCAGTTGTGTTGTGTTGAGGCTTCTGTCTCGCCGTCTTTCCAAGCATAAATTAAACAATACATTTGGAGCTCTGATCTCAGGCCAGTCTGCGTCATGCTAGCACAGATTGTTCCAAAAGATCACTCATCCAACAAGTACAAATATTTGTCAGATTAAATTTGACGCCATATTCTTGTGCTAAATATAAACCCCAAAGACAGACAGCATGCACAGAGGAAAAAATAGAAATATTTTTAGATCAAAATTACTTTTTTTATTTCTAACGTTTTTAAAATCATTACATAATTTACAAAATATCCAGTTCCTATCAGATCAGGCGCTGCTGTTGTTCAGCGTATGATTTTTGTACTACTAGTGCTTAGTGTTTTCTTAGATTAGCGTATTTCTTAGTTCATATCTTAGATCTTATTACTGTTTTTCTTTACAGTATATACTTTTGTTGGATGTAACTGGGACCCTGCGTACACAATTTTGTTTCACCACATGTACCACGTGTGGTGCAGATGACAAATAAAGAAACCTTAACCTTAAATACACGTAGCAGTCAAGTGGTTCTTTTTAATGCAGTTGATAAAGTGAGTTCCAGCACGTTTAATCACCTCAATCAAATAAAAACAAAACACATTTTAATTCACTGTTTTGGAACATTCACACTGTGTTAATACCAAGCCAGAAAATAACTACAACAGCAGTGGTTTATTAGAAGAAGTGTCTGATGCTCGTCAGTCTGGAGTGGGTTGTTGGGCTATGTCTAAACAGTTTGGAGTCAAATTCTACAGTAAGAATGTTTTACAGAAAACAATATCGGTGCAGTTGCTTCATGTCAGAGTTCATCTGTTCTAGGTAGCTAGTTAAAGAATAAAGTTTAGAGCCGTACTTTTTATTTCCGACTTCTCCCTTCTTCAGGGGTCGCCACATCGAACTAACTCACACGAAGACTTGGTAATTGGTTTTACACCGGATGCCCTTCCTGACACAACCACAGACCACTAAGCTACCACAGCCCTCCATGTGGAGTAGAGAACTGCCAACTAGGATGCCTGGGGGAGCAGATGGTGGGGTTAAGGGTCTTGCTAAGGGCCCAGAATGTGGCAAATGAGGGTGGAGGCAGGTATGGATGTTTCACATTTTCCACTCACGTTTTGATGTTGTCGACCCAGAGAGTCGAACCGGCGACCTTCCGATCACAGGCCAACCCTCTCCAACCTCTGCTCCACCACTCCCAAAGTTTATAACAGTACAAGTTTCTTTTGGAAAATGGCAGCGCAGCTTTAGTTTGAAAATTTCCTCCTAGTGAGGGACCTGCTCGCCTCCATTCTGGACCTGCCATTGTTCCTCCTTCCTGTCTTCTCAGCCGGTTGAAAAAGATGGCCACTCGTCCTGAGCCTGGTTCTGCTGGAGGTTTTTTCCTGTAATGAAGGAGTTTTTCCTTTCCACTGTTGCCTTTGTGCTTATTCAGGATGGGAAACTGTGACAAAATGAAGACTCAACACATCTGCTGGCTACCCTACCTTAGATACATGCTACTAATTGAATTTTTATGTATATGAATGTTTTTATTCAGTACACCGAGATCACTGCTGTTGTTGGACGACTTGAGTTGGGGGTTCGAATCCACCAACTGTGGCATGCCTAAGTGTCCCTGGGCAAGACACTGAACATCTCATTGCCTCCGATGTGTGTCCCATCAGTGTATGAACATGATAAAGCTCTGATTAGTCTCTTTAGAATGATTTGTTCAATTAGCTTTGTAGAGATCTAGTAGAGTGCTGTAGGAATGGGTAAATGAGGCACGGATAGTAGTGTAAAGCACGTTGAGTGTTTTGATAAGATAGAAAGGCGCTATATAAGTACAGTCCATTTACCATTTACTTGGCACTAAATAAATAAACTGAATTCAATTGAATTGAATTGCAAAGTTGGTTCTAAACAAACCTTAACATTTTCTGAACAGGCAAAAGGATGTGGGTAACTATAATGCACTGCATCACACTTGGTAAAAATAAAAAACTAAACACAGCAAATGATAGCAAACAACTCCCATGAACTGTCAAGCATGTTGGTGGAGGGCTTATTATTTGGGTTTGTTTTGCAACTTCATGAACTCTGTTCTCTCCACTCATCAAGTCAACTACAACCCTGTCTGTATACCAAAGTATTCTCAACGTTCACACAGCAGCAATTTTTGAATGCAAAGTTTAAAAAAAGAGTCAAACATCAAGTGTTGCAGACTTTAACCCAATTTTCTTTTCTGGCACCAACACCAGATTTGTCTCAGATATGAAAACACTTATTTTTAAAGATGTCTGAACCTCTCATGAACCTCAGTGAATGGAACCAACGTTAATGTCAGTGATTGATAATGTCATGCACAAGACAGTTAATTTATTACTGGTAACAATAGTTTTACATTTTCTGAAGTAATAGGGTGAACATGGGGTTGCACATAACTTTTCTATATTTTGGCATTGTTTTTATTAAACAAATAAAAATATGATGTAATATTTCAAGATTTTTCATCTTAAGTTGAATTTTTACAGCCTGTTATATATCATACAATTCTTGTCTTATTCCCTGAATTTTAAAATTCTAGCTGGGTCTAGTTTTGATCAATTGTGTAAGTTGCAACAAGTGAGAAGAAGCAGCTGGCAACTCAAGGCTATCACTAAACAAAACACTTTGCAATATTTTTGCTTTAAGATCTATATAGTTGGGAGTGTGGTGAGCTTTGTATGTCTTCTTTTTTCAGTTTGGCATATTTTCCCTAAGCTCTGTCCTCTAGAGACACGTACTTAAGCAGCTGAATGGTCATGCATTGGAGGCACAATCTGGTTTATGTTATTTCATACAGAGATTTACAGGTCGGCTCTGGTTATCTTCTGCCTTAACCTTGACTTATTCACTAATATGGACCCACAGGGTCAGCCTTCACTGGAGCTGCGGTGCATTTACAGACTCCTGGTAACCACTGTCTGGCGTCTGTAGAACAAGATGAGATTTGGTGCAGAAGTAAAGGGTCATTGACTCACATTCACTTCACTTAACTGTTGTTTTCTCATGTGGATTGTCATCACTTTCTGACTTTTGCTGCACTTTTGAATCATTTATCTATGGCTTGGCTAAACACTGATTCCCGTTCCATTTCATGCCACTGAGCCTGCAGGCAGCGGCTTTTGATACGTTTCAACCTTAAATATTTAGAGCCAGCCAACTAGTCCCTAAGAAACACTGTGTTTTACTGTTTCTGTAAAAACAAGAATAATTCCTGTTATATCTAAATTACTATAAACATAACCCATATGGATATAGCTCTTACAAATTTGTTTTAGTGTCCGTCTTTTTATTATTTAATTACTTACACTGGACACCATTGGGGTACATGAAAATTATACAGTAGTGCTGACAAAGCCTCATTTTACTAACTCTATGAGAAAAGAAGAAAAAGTGATGAATTAAGAAAAGTTTTCACAAGGTTTCTTACAAGATGCAAGGATCTAGTTTCAACTTTTACTACTCTGTAATAAACATGTTGATTTTAACAAACCACTAGGTTTATTGGTTGCATTCAGAGCATTCTACACTTGCAAAAATGAAAATACTACAACATTCTTACAACATTTGTAATTCTGAAAATAGTTTTGGTATGTTGAAAAGCCTTTGCAGGGAATGCTGCAGCTTCTTTGGCCAAATCTGGCTGATTTGACTTCACTAACATTCACCAAAATGTATTGAATTCAAAGTACAATTCAGCCTTGATTTGTTGTTAACTATGCAGAACTTTTGTCAAAAATCAGAAATAATATTGCCACATCAGCCATTGTATTGTACATATATGTGTCACAGATTATCTGGAGAGAAAAAAAAAAGCGACTGGGATGAGAATCAGCACCTCGAAATCTGAGGCCATGGTTCTCAGTTGGAAAAGGGTGGATTGCTCTCTTCGGGTCAAAGGTGAGGTTCTGCCTCAAGTGGAGGAGTTCAAGTATCTTGGGGTTTTGTTCACAAGTGAGGGAAGAATGGAACATGAGATCGACAGACGATCAATGCAGCTTCTCCAGTATTGTGGAACCTGTGCCGGTCCATTGTGGTGAAGAGGGAGTTGAACTGTAAGGCAAAGCTCTCTGTTTACCGGTCGGTCTATGTTCCTACCCTCACCTATGGTCATGAACTCTGGGTAGTGACCGAAAGAAAGAGATTGCAGATACAGGCTGTCAAAAAGATTTGTTTTTTTCTTTTTCCGCAGGGCAACTCGACTCTCCCTTAGAGATTTCTTAATCTTTATTTAACCAGGCAAATCCCATTGAGATCACAGATCTCTTGCAAGGGTGGCCTGGGCCCAAAGGCAGCCTAACATGCATGTTTTTGGTCTGTGGGAGGAAACTGAAGTACACGGAGAAAACCCACGCAAGCACGAGAAGAACATGCAAACTCCACACAGAAAGACCCCAGGTCCAACCGGGGATTGAACACAGGACCATCTTCCTGTGAGGCAACAGTGATAACCACTGAGCCGTCGTGCTGCCAAGATAGGGTGAGGTAGGGTGAGAAGTTAATTTATCTGCAAGAGACTCAGAGTAGAGCTGCTGCTCCTCCACATTGAGAGGAGCCAGGTGAGGTGGTCCAAGCATTTGGTAAGAATGACCCATGTGCGCCTCCCTAGGGAGGATCCATACCCCAAGACTGATGGATTGATGGCTGGATGGATCCATCCCCGAAAGATGGATGGATGGCTGGATGGATAAAATCCCCCAATATTTGTATTCTCTAAAGATTATTTAACATGTTGACAGTAACACAAAACATCAGCAGATGGTTGCAGTCATTTGGGATGAGTCTTCAGAAATAAGGAAAACATCA